GCCTCCGCTGACCACTGCTGACCACCCCCGATGCTTCCAACAACGTACAACGATTACTACTTGTTACTGCTTGCCCCTGCTGGCCTCTGCATACCTCTGCATCCCTCTGCTGTCCCCTGCTGGCCCCTGCTGACCCCTACTGACCACTGCTGACCACCCCTTATGCTTCCGACAATGTATAACGATTACAACTTGCTACTGCTTGCCCCTGCTGGTCTCTGCTGGTCTCTGCTTGCCACTGCTTGCCACTGCTGGCCTCCGCTGACCACTGCTGACCACCCCCGATGCTTCCAACAACGTACAACGATTACTATTTGTTACTGCTTGCCCCTGCTGGTCTCTGCATGCCTCTGCATACCTCTGCTGGCCCCTGCTAGTCCCTGCTGTTCCCTGCTGTTCCCTGCTGAACCCTACTGACCCCTACTGACCACTGCTGACCACTGCTGACCACCCCTGATGCTTCCAACAACGTACAACGATTACTACTTGTTAGTGCTTGCCCCTGCTGGTTTCTACTGTCCCTTGCTGGCCCCTCTGACCCCTCTGGCCCCTGCTGACCTTTGTTTATAACTTCTGCCGTGATATATATGTATTAAAACTTTGTATAATGTAAATCTATGGCAATAAATGTTATAAGTTCAATGAATTCTATGTCTTCTCGTCATTTTTACCTTCATTTACCTCTCCAAAGCATTCCCATAGTTATAAGATACGTGCCACCTCTTCCATTATCATGTCCTCCTGATAACAAAGTCTAAAACGAAAAATTAACTTTCAAATTCTCAAGTTCTCTTAAAAATTTTCTAAGTTCCTCGAAAAGATTTGAGGGGGTCCCGTTTAAGTTTTTCAAAGTCCTGAAACAATCGGAAAGTCCTGAAACAACGAAAAAGCCCGGAAACAACGAAAAATTCCTGGCAGCTGGAAAGTCCTGAAACAGCTGGAAAGTCCTGGAACAACGAAAAAGCCCTGAAACGCCGAAAAAGCCCTGATACAGCTGGAAATTCCTGAAACAGCTGGAAAGTCCTGAAACGCAGAAAAAGCCCTGAAACGCCGAAAAAGTCCTGAAACAGCTCGAAAGACCTGAAACAGCTGGGAAGTCTTAGAATTTCTTGGAAACGCCGAAAATTCTTAGAAACTTTGAATTTTTAGCAAAGTTATGAGTTTCAGGACTTCCTAGTGGGGTTCAGGGAAACCAAGGAGTTTCAGGGAGTCTTATAACTAAGGGAATGATTTGGAGAGGGAAAGAAAGGTAAAAATGATGAGAACACATAGAATACTTTGAAATTATATCATTTATTGCCATAGATTTACATTATACAAAGTTTTAATACATATATATCATGGGAGAAGTTATTAATAAGGGTCAGCAGTGGTCAGCAGGGGTCAGTAGGGGTCAGGGGGGCCAGCAAGGGACAGTAGAGACCAGCAGAGGCAAGCAGCAGCAAGTTGTAATCGTTCTACGTTGTTGGAAGCATCAGGGGTGGTCAGCAGTGGTCAGTAGGGGTCAGTAGGGATCAGTAGGGGTCAGCAGGGGCCAGCAGGGGACAGAAGAGGGATGCAGAGGCATGCAGAGACCAGCAGGGGCAAGCAGTAACAAGTAGTAATCGTTGTACGTTGTTGGAAGCATCGGGGGTGGTCAGCAGTGGTCAGCGGAGGCCAGCAGTGGCAAGCAGAGACCAGCAGAGACCAGCAGAGACCAGCAGGGGCAAGCAGAGACCAGCAGAGACCAGCAGGGGCAAGCAGTAACAAGTAGTAATCGTTGTACGTTGTTGGAAGCATCGGGGGTGGTCAGCAGTGGTCAGTAGGGGTCTGTAGGGGTCAGTAGTGGCCAGCAGGGGACAGCAGAGGGATGCAGAGGCATGCAGAGACCAGCAGGGGCAAGCAGTAACAAGTAGTAATCGTTGTACGTTGTTGGAAGCATCGGGGGTGGTCAGCAGTGGTCAGCGGAGGCCAGCAGTGGCAAGCAGTGGCAAGCAGAGACCAGCAGAGACCAGCAGTGGCAAGCAGAGACCAGCAGAGACCAGCATAGACCAGCAGGGGCAAGCAATAGCAAGTTGCAATCGTTATACGTCGTCAGAAGTATGAGGAAAGGTCAGCAGCGGTCAGCAGAGGCCAGCGGAGGTTGGCAGAAGTCAGTAGTAATCGTTGTACGTTGTCAGAAATATAAACGGTGGTCAGCAGAGGCCAGCAGAGGTTGGGAGAGGCTAGCAGTAGTCAGTCGTAATCGTTATACGTTGTCGGAAGTATCAGGAGTGAGTCAGCAGTGGTCAGCAGAGGCCAGCAGAGGCTGGCAGAGGTTAGCAGAGGTCAGCAAGGGCTAGCAGAGGCTTGGAGTAGGCCGGCAGTAGGCAGTAGTAATAGTTATACGTGGCCAGATATATCAGAAGTGATATCTGAAATGATATACATATGTACGTTCATACATAGGAATAATAAAAAAGAATTTCTTTTTTTTCAATAATTCAAATATGATCAGGGGTCTTAAAACTTGTATTTCCGTAAGAAAAATTTCACAAAATTTTTTTTCATTGTAGTACCTTGCTTATGTGCGCCTACATAGGTTGGAAAGTAAAAATACCTGGGCAGTCGAGACTTGGAATCATATGTCGTTGACGTGTGGTCGAATTTCAGGTGTTCAAGAGTGAGAAGGCAAATAGGAGCCTTTCTCTCTCGACTCCCACGAGGCGGTCCGAAATTACTTCGGGCAGCTTCGGAGAATCGAGAAAGAGCGCATGCGTCAGTTTGCCTTTGTCGACTTTTCGAAACTCCACGAGCTCACGTACGCGTGATCTGGCATAGTGTGAGTAGTGCACCCGGTGCTCAATCTGGCATCACTGGGCAATACCAGAACGATGTATGCAACGATACGTGTCATATGCATTAAACGTAATCTAAAATATATGTGTCGTTTATTATCCATTTCTATAACCTCTGCTACAGTTTGTGAATCAGTCATATTTATAGTAACTAATATTTTGTAGGATACCTGTTGTTATCAATAATCGCTTGTAATCGCCTGGGCATAGATTCAATTAAATTATTTGTTATATTTCCCTCCATTTTTTGCCATTCCTCTTCCAAAGCGTATTTTAAATCATTTTTACTTGTAATTTTATATTTTTGCAAACGATGTTTCAATTCTCGTCATATATGCTCGATTGGATTTATGTCCGGTGATTGCGGAGGAGTTTTCAGAACGTGAGGCGTATTATATAAAAGCCATTTTCTAATTAAATGAGTCTTATGGATGGGAGCGTTATCTTGCTGAAAATAGTAATTGTCAGAAAGACCTAATTTCCGTGCACTGTCTTTAAAATATCTAAATATTATACTGTATTTTAAAATATTTAAATATTTATACTAGTCTACTATTCCATCAATGAGATGCAAGTTTCCCAGGCCATTTGCGGTCATACAGCCCCATACCATAAGGCTACTTCCGCCATGTTTGACTGTAGGTCTAATATTTTTGTGCCTAAAAGATTCTCTTTACTTGGAGAACACAAAATATGAAACAAGGATCGAACATAATGGACAAAGTAAATTACACAAGTGTTAATAATAATTTTGTATAGTTATTTTTACTGATTGGAGTTGGTAGCGCTGGAACGGTGATATGAGGGAGAATACCAGAGTAGAGCGCAGCGATGGACGATTCGTGGGAATTTTGGTCATGCGCACTGGAGCTAACGCATGCGCAAAAAGGAATCCCACGAGAGAAAATTCTAGTGCGCAGGTCCAAAATTCCCACGAATGTCCATCACAGGGTTCGACACGATTCAGTTACGCGGGGAAAACCTGATCTAACGATCAGGGTTAGGTCACGGGGTTATCCGAACGGGCCCGTTTAAATGACTCGTTCGATCAGCGAGATCCTAAAGATATTTAGTTAATGTCTTCAAGGCAATGACGCCCAAAAGACATTCTGTAAATGATTTTACACCTAAGTAAGGCTGTGTTTATATTTCTCCAGGCCGACGGACGAGTTGGATCATTATTACATATCAAATTCAACATAAATAACCGGCCCAAGAGAAGATGCACTTATAGTGCAAACAACGACTCGAAGTCAAGATGGGTATGATACCACCAATGACGTGACATCATTGAGGGGGCAAATAATTCCTTGCTATGACAGTTGGTAGACCCCTGGCAGTTGGTAGAACCAGCAGGTAGATTATGCTTGGGTAGACGTATGACTTATTTTAGCTGAGGCGCCTTAAATAATTCGTTTTCTTTCTTGATTCCCCGAAACTGTCCAGAGCATTAAAGTTCATGTACACGTGGCTGTACATTAGTGTGTGTAAGTGACGGGTTGGTTTCCTTATGACACAGATCTGTTTTCTGGTAATATTGATAACTGCTAATATCCTCAACAGTGGTGAGAATGGTTGGAACGGGCAACCCATTCTTATTATCTCTTCCATAGTTTATTTCGCAGCTAATGCTTCAACGTCTTGTCTCCAATATAAAGTTGTTATCAAGCCGTTAACACTGCTATAATAAATATGTTATCGCTTTGATTAGAGTAAAAGTTGAATATATGCCAAAAAATTGAGACTCCAAGCCAGGCATTTATGGAGCAAATGGATCAATTCTAATTATAGAAACAGCCCGAATCAACTATTAATTCTAGAAAAGGAAAGTCAGTAAAAGAGAAAAAGGCTTTCGATTGTCAAGTTTTATGGTTTTCTTCAGTAATTGGGATGAACATCAGTTCAGTTATATATCCAACTTTCACTGTACCTGTTTCGAGAAAATCATTTACACGTACTTCGAAATTTCCATATTAAAGGTGACGCAACACAAATTATTAGAATTATAATTATTTATTATTCTTAATTTCTTAATCTTATACTAATTATTTGTATATATAGCTAACCGTATTAATTCTGTATCTTCGCTCTCCGTAAGGACTAGGGGAAAAAAATCGACAACCGAATTAATTAAATAAGATATCTGCATTTTACAAAGCAATAAGTTACACGAGTGTCCTTATAAGAAACTGACGAATTGAGTCGTTGGTCGTACTATATAATAGAAATTGTAAAGACTAACCAACATGGTCGGTTAGCTAGCAAAATGTTAAGAATCGTACAATATGTTTTTTTTTCGCTTATTTATGGAGAAGTAAGGCTTGCAGTTCGATTTCCCTTTACGTTGCGCATAGAAGTTTCCATAATATTATTACAACGTAATTAGAAAGGCGACGAGATGTGGTTATCGAACGTGTAAATGTGTACGGTTCAACGCTACAGCATCCAGAAAGTTCGATTTCCTTTGGAAGACTGGGGACAACGACATCGTGTCGACGTGAACCATTGTCGGATGAAGCAGCACCAAAGCGCGTATCGATAAGCAAAATACCAAAAGCTACGACATCGACATTGTCTTTGCAAATAATAATTAGCACCTACAAACTTTCTTATCGTTACGATAAGCAAAAGAGCTACAAGTGAAATCATGTTAAGTTTCGTATAAAGTGTTGATAACTGCTCGTTGCTCCTGTTTGTATTTATGAATTTTATACTACCGACCATAGACGTGTCTGTAAAAGATACATGTATAAAGTGTATACTTTGATTTCCATTCTTTTTTAATTTTGATTCGCTGTTGTAAAAATAATACTTCGATATTGATCGACAGTGATGGTAACGTTATCAATGAGAAACTAAACGTATCTATCTTGAATTAACATGTTCATCTATATTATTTTCCCATGCTTGATTTCCCTCGCATCGCTTTCTTTCTTCGACTAATATGTTCACTGCCCTTTGACTTACAACCGTGAGTCAGGACGGTTCTTGCTCAGGAATCCCTGATCCATGATCAAGATAGCTTTAACTTAAAAAGCTTATGCCTACCCTGAACGCGTCAACGACGTCCATTTCAGCTTATTTGGAACAATGATAGCGTGTTAATCATTGCTCGTCGCATCGATGAATAATGGCTTATCAAGTAGTTCTTCGGCTATGCATACATTCGATAGTTCTTCATTTTTGCTTTTGTCGGTCTGGAAATCCGACATCGGTTCAGATCAATCGCTGGAAATAAGGAAAACCGAGACACGTATGAATACGATGCAACATTAAGCGAAATAACTATCATAAAAAGGATTCAGTAGTGGATATACACTTACGACAACTCCTCCTACATTAAATGCTATTATTGGTAATGAGATATAAAAATGTTTGTGATTTTATAAAGGTGTACATATGTTTAAAACATGCAAAGTAACTTGAAATTAACTTAACCTTTAAACGAACACAAATGAACATTCAAATGTGCACTCTTGTAATGTCTTTCTCCTTTGCAAAATAGCTAATAACTAGAAGTGTGCGAGGCCTCGAAAATTTCGAGCCAAAACGAGACAAGAATTTTATTCGGAATCGAGACAGAACCACAAAAGTTTATTATTCTCGACAACGTCGATTCTATGAAATTAGAAGGTTAGTTTCACTATATGCAGATTTCGAATATTGCAGTTAGTAACAAAATTGAAGTTATCAGTATTTTTACTTTACTTGGAGAACATAAAATGTGAAACAAGGATCGAAAATAATGGACAAAGTAAATTACACGAGTGGTAATAATAATTTCGTGTAGTTATTTTTACTGATTGGAGTTGGTAGCGCTGGAACGCTGGTGTGAGGGGGAATACCGGAGTAGAGCGCAGTGATGGATATTCGTGGGAGTTTTGGTCATGCGCACTGGAGCTAACGCATGCGCAGAAAGGAATCCCGCGAGGGATAATTCTAGTGCGCATGCCCATCGTGTAATGGCGTTGTGCAAAGACACGTGTAGAAATAGCTATGTACGCTCATTGTTAAAATAGAAATAAATATGTTGAAATAATAATGAGTTGTTTAGAATTAACCAAACGCAATCCCAACAAATTTAATAATAATAAAGCAGTGAAAGGCTTTTTTCCTTTACAGCTGGCAGAGTTGTGACAGAAAATTTAACATCGTTCCTAATAATTCCCCGAACAGAAAAATTGTGAAAATATTAATATTTTTATATGTGAATAATATTTTACTTCTAATTTCAAATTTATATCTATATTTGTTTTATCATATATTTAAGTTCTTTAAATTTTCAAGATATATTCAAGATTCTTGACATTCTCGAATAAGGAGATACTTCGAGGTCTGGCACACCTCTATTAATTATGATTATTAAACATTACATTTGATGGCAATACACACTTCATGTAATTACTTTTTCAGGGAAGTAAAAAGAAAATCTCAGGTTCGCTGAGTTGAAGTGTACCTAAACTGAGATGAGTGCGAGGCAACAATAAAAAAAATAAACTCTTAGATAATACAAACAATTCATTGGATTCAAAATAAAAATATAAATTAAATAGTATTTTTTGTATAGAAATCTATTTATATTCTTTAATTTGTGCATGCAACCAATATTTTCGATTCGTCATTTTGTTTTTTGCAATTTTTACTTCAGATTCGAAATTAATAATTTCAAAAATCTCTATATTCTAATTTGTATACTAATCGAAGGATGTCTCTATATTTTAACCAGCATTTTTGTTATTTCGACCGCTGTGCATCTTTATAGAAATTGTTAACTATGATTTTGAAAAGATCAATCGTGATAGCCTATGTGTTTAACTAGAATAACATACAGGGTGGTCCACGCAACTTGTGCAGCTCCATAATTTCCAAAATCTGTGTTGCACGAAAAAATTTTGTGTACAAAAGTTACATGGTTTAAAGGTGTAAATTACATAGTACATTTATTTTTTTTATAGGTGAAATTATTTCGGAGATTTGAAGGTCAACTTTGTTTTTACAAATAGAATACTGTATTTTTTATATCAGAATATGGAAGAATATCGAATTCTGAGTAAAAAAGTATTGACCTTTATTAGCCCCATCTCCAATAATTAACGAGTAATTTCACTTTATTATTTTACTATTTGTTAAAGATATAATGCTTCTCTTCCCTCTATATCTATGTCTGTGTGTGTGTGTGAGTAGAGTGGATGAGTGGTGCCACCTATGAAGAAGCAAAATTATAGAGAGAACAGAGAAAAGTGTGTTAAGATAAGACAAGAAGTAAGAAATAAAATATATGTATAATTAATATCTGACAGAGATATAGTCTTATTATAAACCAAAGTAACAACACTATTAAATTGGAGACTCAGCCTTATCACAGATTTCTACAGAACAGTTGAAATAATCAAGAAATAAAGTTATTGAGGTCGATTGTAGCCACATGAGGGCGCCACCTTTGGTTATGTGGCCGCCAGTCGGAACTTTGGCGCATCTCGGCCATCACCGTGACGCCCCTAGTGGACGGACAACGAATTAATGAGGGTTTTTCCCCAAAATCGAGCGATCGCTCTAGATACAAAAAAGAAGAAGCTTCTTCAACGCGCGCGGAGTTGTGTTAACGTTAAAAATAAAGTAATATATACAAATATTCATCCACCTCGTCCAGAACACTATTTCGTGTATAGCCGTAGACGCTATAGTTATTAGTAATAACTTATTACGTCTTGCGACACGTGAGATAGATGTATTGAAATACAGTTTAGTATAAAAAAAAGATCATCTCGTGCAACTATTTCTTACCCTGTTCTACTCTTGCCATGTACTTCATCAACATTATTCCTTATTATGCGAAAAAAATTGTCAAGAAATGAAATTACTCGTTAGCTATTAGGTTTAGGGCTAATAAGGATCAATACTTTTTTACACAGAATTCGATACTCTTCCATATTTTGGTACAAAAAAACAGTATTCTATTAAAAAAAAAACAAAGTTGACCTTTAAATCTCCGAAACGCCTTCACCTATAAAAAAATTAAATCCACTACATAATGTATCTCTTTAAACCATGCAATTTTCATATATAAAATTTTTTCGTAAAACGCATATTTTAGAAATTATAGAGGTGCACAAGTTGTGTGGACCATCCTTGCATTTTCGAGTTTCACTTTGCACCTAATCGAAGACACAGATGAGTACCATGTTTTCGGCGAAACAAGGGCTAGGGAATTTAAAGTTAAAATCTGAATTGTAATATTACCTATCGCTGTTTTCGGACGTTGCTTCTTCGCTACAATCCAAGTCAAGTTCACCCTGAATAGCGCTTTGCAAATCGTCGATTCTCTGAAGCGCTAATCTAAGATCGTCTCTGGCGATTTTAGTCTCCGCTTCCGCAGCCTCGAGAGATTTCTCCAATTCGCGGCGAGCGCGCGTGGATTCTTGTTCGCGCGCCAACGCGGAATTAGCTTCTTCTCTTGCTTCGCGTAACGATCTCTGCAATCGTCTCGCAGTATCCTGAGCAGTCTGTTCTTTCGTTCTCAGTAGTGCCGATTCGATTTGCAGTTTCTCAACGTTTTCTTTCAATCTTGCTATCTGAGTCTACGATAACAGAAAATTTATAAAATTAAACACCTAATTCGTTAGCAAGTCGTTTTTAACACAGATTATTGCATTAAACATAAAGTAAGAGTAATAATATCAGCAAAAACTAATCCACAACAACAATGAAATTGCAACGATTGATATCAATTTGATGTAAACATCGAAGCAATATTTGGATAATGTTAACCATTTTTGATTGGATATATGAATGATGCGTTAGTAAATTTCGCCATATATTATTACTAGACTGCGGATCTTTATGCAAATTCACATTTTTATTAATAGAATTAATGAAACGAAAGCTACGCAGAGGTCTGTCTCCTAAATATAATAATTCGTATCTTACTTTAAGTATTTCTTGTATTTTTGCATATTAAATTCCGTAGTTTTTTGAGGATTAAAATTTCCCATAAACGCATAAACATCCGCAGTCTATTACAAAGAAATAATCAGTAACCTACCTCCAAGCGTGCTCTTGTCGTCTGTTCCAATTCCAGTTTACTTTCAAGTTCTTTGGCACGGAACTCCAGTCGTCTTGCGACCAGACTATTTGCCGTAGGGTCTCCTAGTTGCTCAACGGACTCCAGTCGTTGCGTCAGTTCTGAAAGTTGATCTTTCAACGAGGTTTTCTCAGTCTCCAGAGCGGTAATTTGTATCTGTGCCTCTTGCAACTGTCCTTGTTCCGTCGATACTTGTTGAACCGCTGCTCGATACTTCTTCAAGACCTTTTAACATAGGTTAACACGAGTTAGAAGGGCCAGTCGAACATAAAACGAACTTTCTTTTCTCCTATTGCTAAACGAGTAGGTGTTTGGAATCTTGACGGTGCGAAAATATCATTTGATATGTCTAGACTCCCTCCTTGCGATGCATGTCATTATGAAGATGGCGCTTTACGTTGGAATACTGGTCGACCATAGGGGAACCCCCAAGTAAAGCCAGTCAGGGAATTCCCGTGCTTGTGTATTACTATCGAAACAGTTTTATAAAACATCTCTTCTTCGTTACCTTGTAATTTCACAGTATGGTTTATTAGACCTGAATAAATTACACTTTATATCACTATCGGACCACATGAAGTATTTGTTTTAGTAGCTAGCACGATAAATGATCAACCAGTACCTAATATCGTTACACAATGGACTGTTAATCAAATTTGTAACTAATGCAAACGTTAAAATAACCATTTTCCGAGGATAACTGGAAATAGTTCGGAAATAAAACGTTATCAAAGACACAAGTGTTGCTAGAAAACCAGCATCGTGCCAGAAAATATCCAAACAATTACTTTATCGAAGGTAACGGATCGATAACAATGGATGAAATTGGTACAGAAATTGTGATAAAATATGGTAATATGTACAGACCTTCGTTTGCAGCGAGCTAAAGTTTCGAAAAATTTCGTTACAACGTTAACAAATTAAAAAATTAGTGTTACAACTTCTTAAAGATTATCAAATTATAGTACGAAACAGAAAAAGATGCATTTTTGAATTGTATTTACACTTATGGTGAAACGGGTACATCACTACAGTGAAAGTTGAATTGTTGAACATTTCTCTTTGTTGGGTACCAGTAAACATCGCCAGGGGGCGCTGCAAACGGACGTGTTCTGCGCCGACGCGGCGATGGGAAATTCTATATGCGATATATGCGACTAAAATTTTAATGGAAGATTCTAGAGGCCAAAATAAGACGAAAATCAAGAATAACAATTTCTCGAATGAGACTTCGTTAAAAAGTTATTAACGTTTCAAGTTGTGGCTGTCGAACGGCGATTTGACCACCTTCTCGAATTTTTTTCTCGAAAATGCGCAGGATTTCGAGGGTATGCCTATTGACCAAAAACGATTGTAATTGACCCCCGCAATCGAAAATAATTTTTCCAAAACGATTTGAAATTCTTTTTTTTCGTCAAAAAATTTCACACCTCGAATTTTTTTGTAGAAAGTGCGTAGGATTTCGAGGGTATATGTAATGACCAAAAATAATTGTAATTGACCCCTGTAATTAAATATAATTTTTTTACTATGATTTTAAATATTTAAATTTCGTCTAAAAACTTCAGAGAACTGCAAAGAACTATTTATTTTTTGGCTAACGTAACATAACGCTCTGAATCGAATGTTTATGTAATTAGATGTAAAGCTTACTTCAGCGAGCTCCTCTTCGTTTTCTTCCAATTGCGAGAGTAACTCGGTTCGTTCGCGGTTGGCTAGATTGGCGCGATCTTCTGCTTCGGAACGCTGCCGCAGCGCTTCGTCGAGCGACGCTTGTATTTCATTTAATTCTTGTTCCAGCGCTTGCTTCGCCTTCATGGCGACTGCTCTGGCGCATTCGGCATCCTCTAACTGATTTTTAAGTTGTCGCAACGCTGCCTTGCCCGTTGATTCGCCCTTGGATCTTTCGAGCATCGTTTGAGCGTCTCTGAGCAGCGCCTTCGTCCTCTTCAGATCTCTCTTCAATCTAATGCAACAAACCGATTCCATCATCGCAAATTACATGGAATAAAATACTTACTATAGCCTTAATAATATAGCGGATGTTTTATTTTAAATAACAATTTAAAAATAATCATCTCAAATAACATTAATTGGTATTTCAATTGATTATAGATTCTTCGTTTGGTTAATTAATAGCAAATTGAAATACTGCTTATTTGGGGGAATAACATATATAAGAGAACACTTTTTTTCCAAATAAGTACTGAATTATTATACAGGGTGTTCGGTCAAAAATTGTAATGAGATTCTAGAGGCCAAAATAGGACGAAAATCAAGAATATTAATTTGTTGATGGAGGCTTCATTAAAAAGTTATTAAAAAATTTCAAATCATTCTGAAAAAATTATTTTTGGTTGCGGGGCTCAATTGCAATCATTGTTGGCGAATACATATACCCCAGAAATCCTACCCACTTTCGAGAAAAAAATTCGAGAAGGTACTGAAATTTTTGAATCATTTTGAATCATTAAAATCTAAAGAATTAAAGAATTAAAGTAAAGAATTTTTTCTTCGAAAGTGCATAGGATTTGGGGGGTATGTGTATTGACCAAAAATGATTATAATTGACCCCTACAACTGAAAATAATTTTTTTTTAAACGATCTGAAATTTTTCAATTTTCTCGAAAAATTTGTCCATTTTCCTGAATTTTTTTCTCGAAAATGCATAGGATTTCGGCGATAGGTCTATTCACCAAAAGTGACTCTAATTGACCCTCGCAATCAAAAATAATTTTTCCAGAACGATTTGAAATTTTTGAATTTTGTCGAAAAATTTGTCCACTTAATCAATTTTTTTCTCGAAAATGGTTAGAATTTCGGGGATATGTCTATTCACCAAAAATGATTCTTATTGACCCTCGCAATCAAAAATAATTTTTCCAGAACGATTTGAAATTTTTTAATTTTGTCGAAAAATTTGTCCATTTTCCTGAATTTTTTTCTCGAAAATGGTTAGAATTTCGGGGATATGTCTATTCACCAAAAATTATTGTAATTGATCCTCGCAATCAAAAATAATTTTTCCAGAACGATTTGAATTTTATTTTTTCGCCGAAAAATTTAGGCACCCCCCTGTCGATTTTTCTTAAAAATTCTCGTTTTTCATTTTTAATAAATTTGTTTGTAGCTGTACGGAAGCTGTACTTCAGAAAAAATTTCTCCTAATGTAGGAGTTATGAACATTTGAAAATTCAATCGTTTTTATGGGGGTTTTCTCATTTTGCGGAATGAAAAAACAACTTTTCGAATGTTTTTAGAATCTCTACATATTCTCCATCAAAATACGCGTCATTTGCATTTTGAAACATTAAAATCGTCCACTCTGATCAGGAGTTATGATGTTTCAAAAGTACACAGGAAATTTCGCGGCCTCTGGCCTTAAAAAATACATTTTTCAGAATGATTTGAAATTTTTTAATAACTTTTTATTTTCATTTTACTTTGGCCTCCAGAATGTTTCATTAAAATTTTTCCCAAGGATGGACGAACATCCTGTATATTTAAAAAATTTTGCAAATTGCCCACGTCTGGATTTAATATTGTTCATCGTTTCGTACATTCTACATATGAATGTAAAGAAAGAATACTTTCTTTAATTGAGGTTAGCCGCGCTTTAGTAGCTCGGCGCGCCCTCTAACCAGGATATCGAGACCCAAACGAGAGGAAGACAGGATATAGAGGGAGATTGTGTAAGAGGCACATGTGCAATGATCTAAGTGATCGATAAATAACATTAACTAAGAGAATAGACTTAAATTGTCGTTTCTCTTTCCATAGGTAACTAGTTAACCATTGTATCTGTAAAAACTGTATATATGTTATGTATAAATTATAACCTCTTTCCATAGAGCAACACGTGTTGGTTATTCTCCTGGAAGTCCTTAAATTTGTCCGTTGTCTTATATAAATATAAAGAATTACTTTTAGAAAAATACCTGTGCATGGTTTCGACCTCTATAGCGCGCTCTGCTCGATCTTGTTCCTCGATGGTCACCAAGCGACGTTCTAGTTCGTGTTTCTCACGAAGTAGAATTGTCCTTTCTTCGTGTTCGTTTTCTAACTGTGACTCCAAAGCTTTGACCTTTTTAAGCGCAGTGCCTCGTACATCCTCCAATTCTTCGTCCCGCTGCTGCATTTCTTTACGCATTTCCTTGCGTTGTTGTTCGATGCTCATTTCAAGCCTCAGCTTCGCTTGCTCCAACAGTTGAACTTGGCCAGCAAGATCGTCCAGTTCCTCCTCTTGATCTTTCGTTCTTTTCTCCAATTCGTGCTTGGCTTTCTTCAATTGCGCCACTTCCTCCTCGGTTTTACCACCGAACGTCAGCTCTTCGAGTTCTTGGCTCAACGTTCGCAGCCTTTCCTCTTTCAATTCAATCTCTAGTCTCGCGTCCTGTGCCATAAAAATGGACAAAACTCGTATACAAAAATCACAAAATTCGTAATTAAGAAGCAACATTAAAAAATGTACAAGAATGCGTAGAACCAGATATATACTTACGCTCAGATTTTGCTCCACAGTAAACTTCTCAGCGATTGCAATTTCTTTCTCCCTGGAGACTCTTTCGCGTTGTGCTTTCTCTTGTCGAAGATCGTTCATTAAATTTTGAGTTTCTGAATCGAATCTAATAAAATAAATATACGTTATTTAACCAATTAAAGACTAAAAGTATTACAATGATGATACAAATGTAAGACGATTAAAAAATTTGTTGTAATAATGACAAAAACATTTAAAGATACTAAACGATACAGAATCTTTTGTAAAATATTAAAGAAACTAAGTCTGAATAGAACATAGAAATTCTAATTAGATTACAAAAATAAGTACTATCGTTTGGATTAAGTTTACAATTGTTTGACAACGGAATGTTGATCTTATAGCAAATTTCATGAATTTAGTCAACGTTGTTAAAACATGAAACATAAGAAACGTTATAAAAATTTTCCAAGACTCGTACTTGCGTTGCTTTTTCTCCAAAAGATTATTCCTGGCTGTTTGTTCTTCTAGCATTAATCTCAAGTCGTGCATTTCACCGTTTAGCTTTTGCACACGACGCTTCCATTGTCCCACAACTTGACGTTGTTCTTCGACCTCTTCGTAGGCATCAGCTAACTAAAGCATTCAAAATGTCAAATTAAGCATTCTAAAACTTTTGCACAACTCATCCCTGTATGATTTAGTGGGGGGAAACCAAGTATTCGTACACTTATTTATTTTTTTTACAATAACTTTGCAAAAAGAAATGAGATACATCACAAAACTTGCTCCCATTAACATTTTGAGTTGTAAAAGTTTTGATGGACTGGAATATTTCATTTTTCTTCTCCACCATCTTTTCCAGCGTAGTTTAATCATAATAATATGAAATGTGTGGTACGTTTATGATTGCAAGATGGCGCTTTACGTTGGAGCATGTGGCGGCTAACGTCACAGGCGTAGCAAGCGCCATCTAGTTAAGTCCCTAGTTTTAGTTAGTTTAACACTAGAAAGACTGAAACTTAGTATATACCTATATTGCCCAAAAGCAGTCAAAATGACTGCATCGTGAAAGAATAACTAATGTGTAAAGAATATTATATAGATATAAGAATATTATATAAGAATATTACTATAAGTGTAATTAATGCAATAGGAGGACACCGGCAATGAGAACAAACATGATACCATATTGAATATCCAAGAAAAGCCAACAGCTTTGACGGTTCCAGAATGCACCGATGCTACCCTGAAGTATCTAAAAGAAACTAACCTGTACAAAGAGATCCAACCACGAAAGAGATCCTGAACTATGTAAAGCTATGCACCGATGCATCCAAGACCAACCAGGGTGTAGGAATTGCCATTATATGCGACAACATGATCAAAAAACTTCGTCTCCCTCATGCTTCATCCATTTTCTCAGCTGAAGCATTCCTCAAAGCATTACGTTACATACAAAGTCAGAATCTCCAACACGCTGTCATCTATACCGACTCTACAAGTGTAATTAATGCAATAGGAGACACCGGCAATGAGAACAAACATGATACCATATTGAATATCCAAGAAAAGCCAACAGCTTTGACGGTTCCAGAATGCACCGATGCTACCCTGAAGTATCTAAAAGAAACTAACCTGTACAAAGAGATCCAACCACGAAAGAGATCCTGAACTATGTAAAGCTATGCACCGATGCATCCAAGACCAACCAGGATGTAGGAATTGCCATTATATGCGACAACATGATCAAAAAACTTCGTCTCCCTGATGCTTCATCCATTTTCTCAGCTGAAGCATTCCTCAAAGCATTACGCTACATACAAAGTCAGAATCTCCAACACGCTGTCATCTATACCGACTCTACAAGTGTAATTAATGCAATAGGAGTCACCGGCAATGAGAACAAACATGATACCATATTGAATATCCAAGAAAAGTCAACAGCTTTGACGGTTCCAGAATGTACCGATGCTACTCTGAAGTATCTAAAAGAAACTAACCTGTACAAAGAGATCTAACCACGAAAGAGATCCTGAACTATGTAAAGCTATGCACCGATGCATCCAAGACCAACCAGGGTGTAGGAATTGCCATTATATGCGACAACATGATCAAAAAACTTCGTCTCCCTGATGCTTCATCCATTTTCTCAGCTGAAGCATTCCTCAAAGTATTACGCTACATACAAAGTCAGAATCTCCAACACGCTGTCATCTATACCGACTCTACAAGTGTAATTAATGCAATAGGAGACACCGGCAATGAGAACAAACATGATACCATATTGAATATCCAAGAAAAGCCAACAGCTTTGACGGTTCCAGAATGCACCGATGCTACCCTGAAGTATCTAAAAGAAACTAACCTGTACAAAGAGATCCAACCACGAAAGAGATCCTGAACTATGTAAAGCTATGCACCGATGCATCCAAGACCAACCAGAGTGCAGGAATTGCCATTATATGCGACAACATGATCAAAAAACTTCGTCTCCCTAATGCTTCATCCATTTTCTCAGCTGAAGCATTCCTCAAAGTATTACGCTACATACAAAGTCAGAATCTCCAACACGCTGTCATCTATACCGACTCTACAAGTGTAATTAATGCAATAGGAGACACCGGCAATGAGAACAAACATGATACCATATTGAATATCCAAGAAAAGCCAACAGCTTTGACGGTTCCAGAATGCACCGATGCTACCCTGAAGTATCTAAAAGAAACTAACCTGTACAAAGAGATCCAACCACGAAAGAGATCCTGAACTATGTAAAGCTATGCACCGATGCATCCAAGACCAACCAGGGTGTAGGAATTGCCATTATATGCGACAACATGATCAAAAAACTTCGTCTCCCTAATGCTTCATCCATTTTCTCAGCTGAAGCATTCCTCAAAGTATTACGCTACATACAAAGTCAGAATCTCCAACACGCTGTCATCTATACCGACTCTACAAGTGTAATTAATGCAATAGGAGACACCGGCAATGAGAACAAACATGATACCATATTGAATATCCAAGAAAAGCCAACAGCTTTGACGGTTCCAGAATGCACCGATGCTACCCTGAAGTATCTAAAAGAAACTAACCTGTACAAAGAGATCCAACCACGAAAGAGATCCTGAACTATGTAAAGCTATGCACCGATGCATCCAAGACCAACCAGGGTGTAGGAATTGCCATTATATGCGACAACATGATCAAAAAACTTCGTCTCCCTGATGCTTCATCCATTTTCTCAGCTGAAGCATTCCTCAAAGCATTACGCTACATACAAAGTCAGAATCTCCAACACGCTGTCATCTATACCGACTCTACAAGTGTAATTAATGCAATAGGAGTCACCAGCAATGAGAACAAACATGATACCATATTGAATATCCAAGAAAAGTCAACAGCTTTAACGGTTCCAGAATGCACCGATGCTACCCTGAAGTATCTAAAAGAAACTAACCTGTACAAAGAGATCTAACCCACCCCTAAAAGAGAACGCTAGAACTAGATGTCACTGATGACCGTAAGTTTAATTAAAAGTTAATATAAAAACGAGAATAGTTCAATAAAATTTAAATATTCTATTTAAGTAATATTTCATGAACAAATAAAGTTTTTCACTTTTAACATACGAACCTTTTTCTCCAATTGTTTCTTAAGTCCCACCAGCTGTTCAAGATCGTCTTCGTGTTGCTGTGCCATTTTTCTTTTGGTGAATTCAAGTTCTCTGACGGCATGCTCGTACCTCTGCTTGTAAACCCCGCCATCCTCATTGTCCTCGGCGTCGGATGAAATTCCATTCAAATCGGCGGCCCTCGCGTACAAAAGTTCCATTTCCAGACGTTCCGTTGCTTGCTGAAGATTTTTATTGGTCTCGGTCACATCTTGAAGCTCTCTCTCGAGACGCAGACGTTCAGATGTTTCTGCATTTATTCTCTCCGCTGCCAACGTTGAGGTAGAGTGCTCTTCCGCAAAGTCGGCAGATATTTCACTCAACTGGAACGAAAAATGAAGTGAAAATTAGTTTAGAGATAAGCGACTGACTACGATGGCCGACAATTATGATTTAAGCGAACTTTTACGATTGTTGTCTTTGCATAGACGTTTCCCAATTATGTATTCAAAGGTGTCCTCTGTAAATTCAAAAAACCATAAAACATTTTTTACCATTTTTTACTGATTTATTCATCACAAATTCTTGTAATGCAAAATAATCTTGAAAACAGGGTCTGAATGGTTGGAAATTTAAACTGAATCTTCAGGAGACGTGTCTTTATTGCTGAAACTGGAAATATTGAGACGCAATATGTTGTTTTATTTTTTTACACTTGATAAACAAAGAAAAAATGAAAATCTATATTCCAACTTTAAAGCGTTGTTAGTTTTGAAATACTAAGTTGTTTAATTTTGTTTAGTTCAGACGATAACTAGATCCTTGTTGAACAAAATGTTTTATGAAGAAGTTTGGACGTATTATTAGGGACCATTTAACTAAAAAACAATTCTAGCAATTGTTCAGATAAAATTTTGCCAAAATAATTTTTTCTAGTCATTTCTAAGCTGATTCAAATCATGTAAAAGTGAATTTTTCAACTTCTATTTTGGAGTGATAAAAAAAATATTTACGTGTAAAGGAAATACTTAATTTGATGGTTATTCGAAGGTATTTATTTTCTTAAACCTATATTTTTCTTTACATATTTTTATTCCGCAGAAGAAAATAAGAAACTATTTTTCTATAAAACTCTATCCAAAGAGGATATTTAAAAATTAGGGAATTAAAATATTCAACAGTTTAGATCTATAGTAAACTATTCACTGGAACTTGACATTAAAAAAATACATAATTTGAGACTTGATATTCTGATATTCATTCAAAGCAAAAAATGTTGGCTTTTTTAATTTTTCAGTTAATAAATATTCGTTCAAGATTTTAATTTTCATAATTTGAAAAATGTTTGACCCTGAAAATGGGTAAACCAAGGAAAAATAATGAAATAAGTTGCAACAGACAAAACAAACGATGGCAATATTATTGAGAGAAATATTGTAATGGATAGGAAATTTTTAGACGAAATTAAAAGATTTGAAATCATACTAAAAAAATTATATTTAGTTACAGGGGTCGATTATAAGCATTTTTTGTGAATAGACATATCCCAAAGTCCTACGCACTTTCAAGAGAAAAATTCTTTTCTGAAATTTCATGCGAATTTTTAAAATATCATAACTCCTGAACGGATTGGAGGATTTTAATGTTTCAAAAGGCAAACAACGCGTATTTTAGTGGAGAATATGTAGAAATTCTAACAATATTGAAAAAGTTGTTCCTTGACACTGCAAAATGAGAAAAACCCCCTAAAACTGGGTCCAATTTTCAAACGGCCATAACTCCTACAATAGCAAAGGTATCGCATTGAAATTTTTTTCAGAAGCAGACCCCATGAATACCTACAAAAAAGTATTAAGAAACTTTTCCGTACAGCTTCAAACAAATTTATTAAAAAAGAAAAACGAATTTTTAAGAAAAATCGACTCAAGGGGTGGGTCATAGCTGAAATTTTTTGGCAAAAAAAAAAAATTTGAAATTGTTCTGGAAAAATTATTTTCGGTTACGGGAGTCTATTATAATCATTTTTGGTCATTAAACATACCCTCGAAATCCTACCCACTTTCGGGAAATAAAATCAGTAAATAGACAAATTTTTCGTCGAAATTAAAAAATTTCAAATCATTGTAAAAAAATTATTTTCGGTTGCGGGTGCCAATTACGATAATTTTTGGTGAATAGACGTACCCTCGAAATCCTATTCACTTTCGAGAAAAAAATTCCGTAAATAGACAAATTTTTCGTCAAAATTAAAAAATTTCAAATGATTGTAAAAAAATTATTTTCGGTTACGGGAGTCTATTATAATCATTTTTGGTCATTAAACCTACCCTCGAAATCCTACCCACTTTCGAGAAAAAAATTCAGTAAATAGACAAATTTCTTGTCAAAATTAAAAAATTTCAAATTATTGTAAAAAAATTATTTTCGTTTTCGGGTGTCAATTGCAATAATTTTTGGCGAATAAACCTACCCCCAAAATTCTATCCATTTTGTAATAAAAAATTCAATAGGGGCGGAACTTTAAATGTTAATAACTTTTTAACGAAGCCTCCATAAACAAATTAGTCTTCTTGATTTTCGTCTTATTTTGGCCCCTAGAATCTCCCATTAAACTTTTTTCTCCATCGAGAAAACTTGTTTTTTGCAAAAAAAAGTACATTTTGCCAAAAAATTTCAGCTATGACCCACCCCTTGAGTCGATTTTTCCTAAAAATTCGTTTTTCTTTTTTAATAAATTTGTTTGAAGCTGTACGGAAAAGTTGTTTAATACTTTTTTGTAGGTATCCATAGGTTCTGTTTCAGAAAAAAATTTCAATGAGATACCTTTGCTATTGTAGGAGTTATGGCCGTTTGAAAATTGGACCCAGTTTTAGGGGGTTTTTCTCATTTTGCGGTGTCAAGGAACAACTTTTTCAATATTGTTAGAATTTCTACATATGCTCCACTAAAATACGCGTTGTTTGCCTTTTGAAACATTAAAATCCTCCGATCCGTTCAGGAGTTATGATATTTTAAAAATTCGCATGAAATTTCAGGGAAGCGTTTTTGACCTAACATTAGATTTTCGATAAAGAATTTTTCTCTTGAAAGTGCGTAGGACTTTGGGATATGTCTATTCACAAAAAATGCTTATCATTGACCCCTGTAACTAAATATAATTTTTTTACAATGATTTGAAATTTTTTTATTTCGACGAAAAATTTGTCTATTTACTGAATTTTTTTCTCGGAAGTGGATAGGATTTCAAGGGTACGTCTATTCACCAAAAATTATTGTAATTGACACCCGCAACCAAAAATAATTTTTTTACAATGATTTGAAATTTTTTAATTTCGACGAAAAATTTGTCTATTTCCTGGATTTTTCTCTCGAAAGTGGGTAGAATTTCGAGGGTATGTTTAATGACCAAAAATGATTATAATAGACTCCCGTAACCGAAAATAATTTTTCCAAAACAATTTCAAATTTTTTTTTTGCCAAAAAATTTCAGCTATGACCCACCCCTTGAGTCGATTTTTCCTAAAAATTCGTTTTTCTTTTTTAATAAATTTGTTTGAAGCTGTACGGAAAAGTTGTTTAATACTTTTTTGTAGGTATCCATAGGTTCTGTTTCAGAAAAAAATTCCAATGAGATACCTTTGCTATTGTAGGAGTTATGGCCGTTTGAAAATTGGACCAGTTTTAGGGGGTTTTTCTCATTTTGCAGTGTCAAGGAACAACTTTTTCAATATTATTAGAATTTCTACACATTCTCCACTAAAATACGCGTTGTTTGTCTTTTGAAACATTAAAATCCTCCGATCCGTTCAGGAGTTATGATATTTTAAAAATTCGCATGAAATTTCAAAAAAGAATTTTTCTCTTGAAAGTGCGTAGGACTTTGTGATGTGTCTATTCACAGCCCTCATTCCGGCTATACCCTTTGTTTTCATATACCTCCTGGCCGATACTGTCGGAAATAGTTCTGTCTTCCGATGTTCTTGACAAAGAACGCCTGGAGCAAGAACTTCTCGCGACACTGTTCGATCTACTGTAATACTGAAAACCGCGTATCATGATATTCGTAGCGCTTTGGCTTCTCCCCATAACGTTTGCAGGCCTGTCCTGCGGCCGCCATGTTGTCTGCAGGCTGAGGTCGTGGTCCGAGTCGTCTCTGTGCCCCAGGCTCCTCCATTCGTCCATTATATGGTCCGTTCTTCTCAAGAACTGCGAGATCTTCGACGACAAGTAGGAAGAGGCTGTCATTGGCTCGAGATGAGAAGCAATGGGCCTGAACGACTGTCTGACCCTTTGTTTCTCGCAGCCCAGCACGAAGTTCAGACTGGCGTCGAACACGACCGGGGCCTGTTCCTTGACAGCGACATCTTCCGTCGCGTCTAAAGGTAGAATGTTCTCCAGCGGGTACGTTCTTCTCGGGGGAGTCGAGAAATTGGTCAAGAGCTCTTGTCTGCTATGAGGCCGAGCCGATACTACTGATAACGATTTAGAGCGGTAAGACAAATTAGACGATATACTGCACGGCGAGGAGCTCCTCGTCGAGCTCGAGCCCACCATGTACGCTCTGCTGGCCGATCTTTTTACGATACACGGCGGCAGCGGTGGCCTTTTCACCAAGTTGCTCGACTCCATGGGCCTCGACAGATAACCGATCATCGTCTCGCTGGAGTCATTGCCTCTGTCGTCCAACGCGTTGCGCGTTACCGACTCTTCGAAGTTGAACAAAGTGTCGCTCGACGAGGGTGGCGTTGCGGTCGCGTACGTTACTGGCACAGACGGCATTTTACCGATCATTTGGTAACCCCCCGGCGACCTAATTCCGTTCGTGTCTCGCCAACGATACGGCGCAGGCGAAAAGTGGCATTTTCGAACATTTACCGCACCGAGCAAACATTTTTCCTATCGGATGAAATTACATACGCTCGTAATCACTCGTAAATACATCTTCGAGCCTTGGTTGCTCTTCAATATTCGACACGATTCTACGTGGTATTGATCTCACTTTCTACGCGTGATACGACGTTTCTTTTTAGCACAGTATGATCAACGGAATCGTTCGAAGGAAGGTTGCGAGCATTTTTAATGCCTTTTCAGGGTTCTACGGTTCATCGAGTTACTCGTCACGAGTATTCAATTGCGTAACATCGAACGGCAACGCCCGTATCGAGAGGGAGTCGCGGAGCAACTGGCTTCTCCTTAGGTCAACCGATTGGCGAGCCGGTTGCGTCTGTTCGAGGAGACGACGATCACCTCCGGAGTTATTCTAAGTGAAACGGAGTGCGAACAGGACGGGGGAACAGATTACGAGAAAACGAGAGAGCGAGAGATCTGGCTACAATTTTGGACGAGCGCCAAATCCGGGAGAAAAATCTCGACCGGCAGAAGACAAGAGAAAAAGGGAACAAAACGGAACATGGAAGTGGCCGAGAGGCAGAAAATTGACAAATTGTTTATTTCGCCTCTCGAGTAAACAATCGAAATACTCACAATTGTTCGATAATTACACTGGGAGGGGGGGGGCAGAGTTGGCCAAATCTTTATACTCAAATTAATTAAACTAAATTAACAAATTAATTAAACTAAACGAACAAATTAATTAAACTAACTAAAATTTGCTTTTATTAGGAATACTGGTTTAAAAAATTTGTTAATATATTTTAATTTATTAACGAATTTACGAATTAAACAGTGACGAACATACTGTGGATCAGATAGGTCTCCAAAGGTTTTGTTTGAATTAATTTATTATGTTATAACTTTAAATATGATGGAAATTAATGAAAATTCTTTCGAGAATCTTGAAAGTGTCGTATTAAGTATTGACACAATAGAAACGAAAGATCTTTGACATTTAATTATTACGGAAATAAATTATACAGGGTGTTCGGCCAACCCTGGGAAAAATTTTAACGGGAGATTCTAGAGGCCAAAATAAGACGAAAATCAAGAATATCAATTTGTTGATTGAGGCTTCGTTAAAAAGTTATTAAAAAATTAAATTAAAAAATTTCAAATCGTTCTGGAGAAATTATTTTTGGTTACGGGGGTCAATTACAATGATTTTTTATGAATAGATATACCCCCGAATTCCTATCCAGTTTCGAGAAAAAAATTCAGGAAGTTTAACATTTTCGGCGAAATTGAAAAATTGAAAAATGTTCTAAAAAAATTATTTTTAGTTGCAGGGGTCGATTACAATCACTTTTGGTCAATAGACACGCCCCTGATATCCTATCCATTTTCTAGAAAAAAATTCAGAAAGGCGTCTAAATTTCTCGACGAAAAAAAAAATTCCCAATCGTTGTGGAAAAATTATTTTCGGTTACGGAGGTCAATTACAATGACTTTTGATGAATACACATACCCCCGAATTCCTACCCACTTTCGAGAAAAAAATTCGAGAATGTGTGAAATTTTCCGATAGAATTAAAAAATTTCAAATCACACTGAAAAAATTATTTTCGATGGCAGGGGTCAAGAACAATCATTTTTGGTCAATAGACATACCCCCGAATTCCTACCCATTTTCGAGAAAAAAATTCCTTACCGAAAATATAATTTCAGAATAAAAATGTCACTCGATAATTTCTTTCGTATTTTAATGTTTTAAACGGCAAATAACGCGTATTTTGGCGAAGAATATGTAGGGATTCTAATAGTATCGGAAAAGTTGTTCCTTGACCCCGTAAAGTTAGAAAAACCCCATAAAAATGGTCCAATTTTCAAACAGCCATAACTCGTACAATAGTGAATATATTTCAATGAAACTTTTTTCCGCAGTAAAGTTCATGAGTACATACAAAAAAGTATTATACAACTTTTTTATACGGCGTCAAATAAAATTACTAAAAATCAAAAACGAATTTTCAAGAGGAATCGACAGGGGATAGGTGCCTAAATTTTTCGACGAAAAAAAAAATTTCAAATCATTCTGGAAAAATTATTTTCGGTAACGGAGGTCAATTACAATGACTTTTGATGAATACACATACCCCCGAATTCCCACCCACTTTCGAGAAAAAAATTCGGGAATGTGTGAAATTTTTCAACAAAATTAAAAAATTTCAAATCGTTCTGGAAAAATTATTTTCAGTTGCAGAGGTCAATTACAATCATTTTTGATCATTACATATACCCCCGAAATCCTGCGCATTTTCAAGAAAAAAATTCGAGAAGGTGTGAAATTTTTCGACAAAATTATAAAATTTCAAATCGTTCTGGAAAAATTATATTCGTTTGTGGGGGTCAATTACAATCATTTTTGGTGAACAGACATACCCCCGAAATCCTGCGCATTTTCGAGAAAAAAATTCGAGTAGGTGGTCAAATTGCCGTTCGACAGCCACAACTTGAAACGTTAATAACTTTTTAACGAAGCCTCCATCAACAAATTGGTATTCTTGATTTTGGTCTTATTTTGGCCTCTAGAATCTCGTATTAAAATTTTTCGATGAACCAAAAATGCATTCTAAAGGAAATGGCAGCATTGAAATCCCGTAAAATCTTGTCCACGTGACTTGGAGTCCCCAAAATTGTTACAATATGTTCATATGTGTTATAAAACGACGAACTTGTCAGATTGTTAGCCACTATGCTCACAAATATAGTGTAATTTTTTAAACTAGAAATTATTCAACATTACAACCGGACCAAATTTGGCGTTATCATAATATGCCAAATGTTAGGACGATATAATACATCTAGATAAACCAACAGACCAAAAAAGTATAAAATTACGTACAGTTTGTGCATCGTTCGATGCCATTTAATTTTGTTTTATGACTTTTTTTGTATCCCTAACCGTTTAAGATGTTAATGTGGCGGCTAACGTCACAGGAGTAACAAGCGCCATCTAGTTAAGTTCCTAGTCTAGTTAGTTTAAGTAAAATCAAAAGTCACTAGTTTGTAGTATTTAGATTTAAGTTGGCGCACCCCCTTGGTACATGGCCCAAGGGATGAAAAGGGCCCAGTTCTGTTCGACGCCCTCGAGAAGACAGAAGCATATAAAAACCGAAGCGTGTATTTGAAATAAAGTCTTTGTGAACGCAATCGCATTAAGTGTATATTTGAAGACTCTCCCAGCAGATACCTATCCACCACATTAAGGAATACAGTGTCGCCACCTATGGGACAGAAGGCCCATCCTAACATGTGGCTGAACGCTCTGTATAATATAAGATTTAAAGTCTAATGTTACAAAATTGTGTATGAATGTTGTAAATATAAAACTTTTGCAACAATGCACTTCAACAACCTGACCACCCACACCCTAACATAGGGAATATAGCGTTTCCTAGTTACATGGGACCCTGTAGAATACGATTTGTAGATTCTAAAATTGGGTCAATTGGAAATGGTCTATTCTTGAGAAAACCTTTCTTCTGAACAAGTGTTCAATTTTAAGACCAACATGTAGCTATTTATTCACGAAACTTAATCGATAAAAAAGTTAAATTTCTTTACTTAAATTTTTATGTAACGAGAATCGGAGAAATACTCGTTTATCTTTTATTCGTTATTCGAAATTTTTGTCTCTAATTGAATCGTGGACATGAAATAATTTTGCTCCAACTTTGCAAAAACTTTGGTCCAAGTATGATAAAAAAAGGTGCAAACAAAAATTACAGTTTTTGCTGCTTTGTCTATTATAGTTAACCCCATTGCACGATATATGTGTATTCTGAATAGTCGATAGAAAAACAATTTTGTGTTGTACCTTGGATTCCAATACATCGTTATCATGTTTCAGATGATTACGCTCCTGCTCCAACCTTTCGACCTTGGCTCTGAGAATCTCAAGTTCCTCCTGCGCATAGAAAAACACATATTTGTTTATATCAATTCGAAGAAGTTATTATAAAGGATGATTCTTGGATCTGGGACAAGAAGTAGCATATATAACACAGAGGAAAATGCTGAATGCTCTAACGAATATCTTCTTTTAGAGCAAGTGTTCGTTTCATTGTCTTTCAAACAGGATGTTTTTTTTCATAAATCGATTTTTCTCAGCATTTTGGATTCAAAAGTACGATTTTAAGAGACATAAGTATTGTATTTTAGGTTAGGAAATGACATTATCGTAGAAAACATTTAAACATTACAATTCCATTAAATATTTAAGTTATACAGTAATTATATACTGATCTTTTAAAAAAGAATTTTAGTTAGTCGTAATTATATCGTACAAAAGTCTCTAAATTGTATTTCACCTTCTCATCATGCTCTTTGTCTGCTCGTTTTCATCCTTTTGTTTTAGTATATAAAAATAAGCCCATAATTATGAAAGTGGTCTGAGTCAAAATTTAAAAAAAATGAGTTTATCAGTTATTTCACACCACATTATTTTAAACTAAATTAATTCAATTTCAACATTATATGGAATTCATTTAGTGTTAATTATGAAAGTGGTCTAAGTAAAAAATTTAAAGAAATTATATAAACATAACCTCAAAACGACACGTGGCCCTCTTTGGCGCGTTTTTGAACTACACAATAAGCCGACAAATGACAATCAAACAATAACAGAAACGACAATACTTCCCGGTCTACCTAACAATATATGGAATTCATTTAGTTCTATTTTGAAAGTGTCATTAATTCAGTTGGGCTCTTCCGAACTTATTATTGGCGGAAAAATAATTTATATATGATGTGATTTGCAGATATTATACGACCACGTAATACTTCAAAGAAATGGAAAAGAATAAGACAATTATCATCTTTAGGTGAATCGTACCAAGACTTCACTGCAAATTTAGAAACCCCAGAAATGGTGCAAGGCAAAACAATAGAAATGGCGTAAGGTAAGAAATGAAAGAGGACAAAAAAAGGAAGCGGTTACGCACAAAATATCAGAAAAATTAAGAGAAATACAGAGGAATACACGAAAAAAAAAATCAAAACTTGTGAGTGCCAACATTTTTGAAAATAAGGATTGCTTTTGCTCTAAAAAATGTTTAGATCGCGTAGAATATAATGAAAGAAAATCTAATCTTGATCATTTCTGGAAACTGAAAGATTTTGAAACCCAGAATCTATATCTATGTACTACAGTTCATCAACGATTAATAAAACAAAGGCGGCCCAGAACTTTTGAAAGACCTATGAGAAAATGCAGCTATAAATACTTTCTGTCGAGAAGTAATAATTCAGAAGTGTCGGTTTGCAGGAAGTTTTTTTTAGATACATTTAAAATTTCTGTGGGGCGGTTAAAAACAGATGAAATTAAGATAACGGCTGTTCGAGAACATATTTTAGGTGTCCCAGCATATGAGAGCCACTACACGAGAGCTCATCACACTCCTGGTCGAAAATATTTGAGTCCTGATTTAGATTTAGTAAAATGTATAACCTATATGTAGAGAAAATATGTGAGAAAAATAACCAATCATTTGTTAAGGAGTGGATCTACAGGAAAGTATTTAATACTGAATTTAATTTAAATTTCCATGCTCTTTGAAAAGACACATGCCAAAAATGCGATTTACTGAAGGGAAAAATCGAAGCATGCTGTAACGAGGAAGAGAAGTTACAATTTAGATAATATCATGATTTACATTTGCAAAATGCCAAACGAGCTAGGAACTGTCTTGCAGAAGACCAGAAAAAAGCAAAAGAAAATCCCTGGGAATATTATGGATTCTCATTTGATTTGCAAAAAGCACTCCCGTAACCAAAACTTTCTGTTTCGTTAGCTTACTATAAGCGAAATATGTACGTATACAACTTGGGTTTCCATAATTTCCACGATGACAACGTCAAGATGTATGTATGGGATGAAACTACAGCTTCAAGAGGTGCGCAGGAGTAGCATCATGAATTTAAATGCATATGGAGGATAGAACTACTCAAAAACACGTAATAGCTTACAGCGATGCTTGTTGAGGCCAAAATTGTAACATCGAAGTAGCATCGACATGGATGAAAATTGCTCAGTCGTCAAATAATAATATTGAAACGATATACCACAAATTTTTGGTATCTGGTCATTCCTTTCTACCGAATGATTTTGTACCGTGTGATTTTGGGTTGATAGAAATGAAAATAAAAAAAGGAAATTACTTATACAACCCTTAGCGTTATTATGAATTGATAGAAAAGTGTAGAGGAAGCTGGATTTTATTTCAACGAAACCACTAGAAGAGTCAACGACAAGAAGAGTAAAAAATACTGCGGTGGAATCTGTCTCTCGGCTGCAAATTCAATGGATGAGATTCTTGAAAAATGAATCTTTTAAGATGTTCTATAAAACTTCTTCAGATGATTCTAAATATTACATTTAATAGGGAAATATTAAATTACTTTCATTATACACCAGCGCTAAACCAGTAACGGAAGAAAAACATAAAGATACTGTGTGTTAACTATCTCGAAACAAGACATATATGACTTAGACCATTTTCATAATTACGGGCACAAATACAGATCATATTCTAACCGTTTTTGCCTTCAATTGATCTTCGGTCCGATGAACGTTCAATAGAGGTGCAACTTTTATGTATAATCTCCACCATGGCCATTCTCTTACGGACATCCATTTCCTGACGTTCCTTTGTATGCATCTCACTGCCAGATCTTGCAACTAAAACAACAACATGGCGTCTTAACTTTCATCATATTCTCGTTAGAAGCATTTTATCGTCCTTTGATACACGTCTCGTAAATAAAAATTATGTCCAAGCGTTTTCACAAAGAATTAACAAATATAGGTTGCAACGCTTCTCATATCTTCAACCATTTAATTACAGTAGAGGTTAGAACTCAATTTTGTTGGAGGTTTTTTGAGAGGTTAGAAATATTTTATCCATTTTAATAGAACGTACTTTTTCGTATTAATTTGAACATTGACTACGCGTGAATTTATTTTCCAAAGAAAATTTAATTATTGCAAAATCGTGTTCTAATAATAAAATTTGATAGATCAGTGATATTTGGACAATTTTTTTTATTAATCTTGGTTATTACGATTTTGTGCAGACGGTATAAAGGTAAGAAGATAATATTTAGAAATTTCTCGGAACGAGCGAAGATTACTTGCACAGGCTCGTAAGTGAAGGTGCACTTTTACAGACTCAAAAAGATGTCATGACATACTTTCAAAGTGTTGAGTTTACGACGTGCCAGATAACCTCTACACCTTGCTTGAAGAAGAATAATATGTCCAGTTAGTTTCTCGTCCCTCTGAGCTTCGAATCGTTCGAGAGTTCCCGATCTGAAAAATATCTGTCGGAAGCAAAACAAAGTAGAATTAATTTCATAAAATGAACAGTACGATTTGATCGAAACGATATTTATGTAATTAAACTTTATGAGCGTGAGGAAAGATATTATCGTTTGAATCGATAAATACACAATAAGATAATTTATCAATAATTTTATAAAAGTTTTAAATTTACATTCAACGAAGATCGTGTTGATCAAATGGTTTAGTGAAATCACGCTACGCTTAATCGAATATTAAGAAAAATGTAGAATCGGATGAATTGTAAATTGAATATTCTCTATGTTCCAACTTCCCATGACCTCGTTTTTTTCAAACAAGTGCATCGGTGCACATGTAGATCGTAGTTGCAATTTTATAAAAATAGTAAATTTAGAATATAAATGTAAAAAGTTTTTCTGCACAGAAAAGTATTCGAATAAAGTTTTTCAAATGTCATTTTATTCTTTGGGGAAATGGAACGATTTACTGACGGAAACAATTTCACATTACATCGTGATAAACATCTTATAAAACGTTTTCAGTTAAGCATTTCATTTAAGAATAATTAAATAATGATATACTTTAGAAACATAATTTGCTTTTATTATGATTCCTGGAAATCATTACAAGGTTATTTAGTAGAATATAGCAAAATGTCGAATATACTTTTCAATTACTTTTGCGCATTAATTGTTAGAAATGGTAAAAAATGTCAATTAATTTTCGAATCGAATATACGAATAGAAATGACGAACGAATGTTGCCCAAACACAATATTTTTATACTCAATTCTGAGTAAAATTAATATTTTATGTATGCATATAATAAATATTTTATTTATTTGATAGACCTTTGAATATTAACGCCAAGACTTGTATACAAGTAAAAGTAAGAATGTGAGTTATACAGTATTGTCTCTATAGAAGCGACGCTTTCGGAGCTCAACGCTCGTCTATAGCGTGGACGAGAAACGATTCTTGATACTTCGTTGACGCTTACTGGACGCGTCGAGTGTAGAAAAGAACAGCGAGTATATGACAAAGAGGGACTGAGCGCACGAGCATCGTCGAATTTGCTATCGCTTCCTTCGCTTCGAATAGACTGTAGCGAAACACAGGCGATGTTTACGCGAGCCTATACGAAATCGGTGTTCTAATTCCGACCTCTATCTATCTCGGTAGAGGTCGCAGAATGAAATACTGATTCTGTATAGGCTCCCGTAAACATCGCCTATGGGTGACAGAACTTTTAACAGTAGAACTGTAATAATGAATTCTGAAGTTGAAATGTTAAAGAAAATAAATTTTAATGAGGTTACGAAAGCAACTACTACGACAACTTTTAAGTTGTGTAGTTTACAATTGTCTAAAATGAAAGTTTTGGTCCCATGAACAATTTTAGGATTTTAGACTGGTAGTCAACGTGTTAATGTGTATTCATTACTGCACTTTAATCACTCCACGTGAACACAATATACTGCTTGTTAATTACGTTTTACCATGGCACGTGTTCTAACCTAACCCATGACCATGTTGAGAATTCTACCGAGTTTATGCTTTACTTATGCTTTACTAGCTAATAATTATTACAAAAACATTAGCATAATAAACTAAATAGTAAAACTTGCTTAATATAAGACCCAATACGGAAATTATCGCTAATTATTTTGGATTAGAATAACGAATAAATAAACACAGTCTGTCTCTCGTAGCGGCCATCTTGGCACTCGCCCGCCTGTGTTTCGATACAGCCGACGGGGATTCACCTTACCGATGCATGCCTTTGATCGCTTATTGCGTTAATTGTATATCGTATTTGGTGTCATTTTAATCAGAAAAGTGTCACGAATATGTCGATGAAGTTTGAAAAAAATAAAGATGAATTTCGTTGTTGATTAAATATTGTATATGTACTAGTTAAATCGTGTCATAACTTCGGTACATGTATGTATGTATCGCTCGTTTACTGCAGTAGTGATACGACTCGAAAAGATACAACTTGCGAATTTGAACTGTTTAACCAACTTATTTTACTCTGAGTTGTCCCACGATTTCGGCAAATAAATGATAGATCGATTAAATTACAATTCCTTTTTTCAGATGAGGATACACTTTAAGGAAAGGACAAATGTATATTATAATTTATGAAAAACAGTAATAAAAATTATGTTGTACTCGATCTTAGTTAAATCAGAAAACTGTCACAGACATGTTAATAGTTTCAAAACAGGGAAAGGAAAAATAAAAAATTTGTATTATTGCACTGGTGTTGCCTTAGTAATTTGAACCCGAATCATATGACAATGTTCGACGACCGACCGTCAAGCGCGCTGCTATCTTGGGGAATCACCCATAGGAAGGCACACTCGCCGATATAGGGGGCGCTGAGTTCTAACGGTACGCAGTGGGGGTAAGTAGAGGGGACACAATATTTGCCTATATCGTGGACGAGTTCCGAGCTTATATAGAGAAAATAATGTAAAATGAAATATTTCAGAATGAATAATAAATAAAACTTTTAACTGTTCAATTCAATAAACATCATGCATAAATTGTTATATGTTAGTTTTTGTTCATTATCTATTATTCGAATAACATTTTGACCATCTTTGGAGAGTATCAGCATATTATCGAATAAAATATTTGTAGGTAATTTAATAACATTGTGATCACAATATTAATATTTCAGTTAGGTTATTGACACATACTAACAAACTTGATGTAAATTACATGAATTTCACACATTGGTATTAATTAAAATCTCACTTTAGATTTTGATGAAATCAATCGACAATAAAGAAGGTACTAATTTACACATAAAAATAAAAATAAATTTCACGAAGTTTCTATTCTTATTTCCATTTTGAATGCATAAGAATTACTTGAAGTACAAAATTTGGGAAAAATTTTAATGGGAGATTCTAGAAATTTCGCACGCTGTGCAATGTAGCTCAAAAACTAATTACTCGATCTTTATGAAACTTGGCATATATATATTCTATAAATAATTGGCCTCAGCATGACGAGTTCCGATTTTTTTATTTTTTACTTAAAACCTTGTTATTAACAATTGTTCATAATAAAAAATCCTTATAATAAATATATAATAAATATCAATAAAACGATCCTTTTTCTTTGCTTTCATATTGTTATTTTCAATTCTCGACTATATTTGAGTGTGAAAAATTATAGCAGCATATAATACAACGCCGCTCGAATTATCTCGAGCGTGGACAGTTTGGCCAGTTTAGCGCCCTCGAATTAACTCGAGCGTGTGCGTTAAGGGGTTAACACATTACCGACCGATAGTCTATTAATCGACTGTTTTACCGACCAATGCTTACCGACCGATAGCCTATCAATCAACTGTTTTACCGGCCAACGCTTACCGACCGAGAGCCGATTAATCAACCGCTACCTGTCGGTAAAGTGTTAAGGAGAAATGTGCGACAAAGGTATCCCAATTAACAGATATTTATAAAAAAAATCTGCGTGACTTAATTAAACTTATTTTAAGCGATATTTTTCTATAAGATACATAATTACGCGACGGACCTGTCGTCCATCGTTGTAGGATCTGGTAGTTTTCCATTGGTCTTTACCGATGTGTTCAACGAGTTTCGTGTTTTCCCCGTTGCAACTGTCGATGCTGCTCGCCCCGCTCGACGCCGATATACTGCCCCTGACGACCACCGTTTTCTCATCGGATTCCAGCCTGTCCACGATCCCGGAATGAAACACGCCGTTAGTATGCAGTTTACCGCGCTCGAACAAACATTCCTTGGCAAATTGTCGCTGGCCCTCGCTCTGAATGCTGTCCTTCCACTCGACTTCGTTCTCGTTGCTCATGTGACCGCTGTCCTCCGAGCAATTGCTATCCGAAATGTAACCGTTGTAATCATTGATACTTTTGATGCTCAAATTCTTCTTTAGGGTCGTGACGCCTTCGTCGGTCCCCGTGTTCGAAGTGGACTGAGATTTTGCGTTCTTGCAATTGAAGAAATTCACCAGATCCTCGATCTCCTTGGCCACTTTGCCCGCCGATTGTTTCTGCTTCATTGCTCGCTTGATATCCTCGGCTCGCTGTTGGCTAGCTTTCAGGGGATCCCCGGAAGTCGACGTGTACGCAGCTTCTTTCTCGTTCTTCTTCTCAGAATCTACGATTGACTGCTGATGACTGCTCGTTTGCTTCTCCCAATTCTTTCTAAGCTCTCGAATGGTCGAAGTTTCCTTCTTTTTAACACTTTTCTCACTCTTCTCTTTCACGTCTCCTTTCTTGGAATCTTCTTTGACGTTAATTTCCTTATCACGAGGGTTCGTTTCTTCGTTCTTACCACCCAATTTGCTGTTCACTTCCTGACCCTCAAGAAGAGAGCTCGTTCTAGAAAGAGAAGCAGCATCCACATGATCCACGTTCTGTGTCTCGTCATCGTCGTCCAGTTGCGCCATCAATCGTGCAACCCGTTCCTCGAAATTGCTGCTGGACAGCCGAGCAGTCTGATGCTTCTCGAAAGCTTCGAGGCAGTTTTCGTAAATGCGTTCGTCCATCGAACGATCGAGATCGGTGTCGTTGCCCAGCGGCGCCGTGCGCCGTATCGTCGGCTCTACGGCTCGATCTACTTGAGATAGATCGGCCAGAGATTGACCCACGCGAGTGTTCCGGTGCGTCAGAAGCGGGATCTTGCTGGGTCTCGACGACGTTGCGTTTCTTCTCGAATGGCCATCGTTCCTCGACGGAGTTTGAATGCTCCACAGACTGGCGGATCTGTTCATCGCTTTTCTACGCGTGGAATCCTGTTTGTACTCCTTCTCAGTGGCTGGCTGCTTCTTCTCCGCGGCGAGGATCCCGTTCGTCTTGAACGATTCCACGGAATTGGCGCGACTCACCGCAGAAACGCATCCCAGACTCGCCGAACGATCGAGAGCCATCTTTTTTCGCAGCGATTCGGGCTTCTTCGGTAACTTCGTCGGAGTGTAAGAGAGTCTTTTCTTCAGTAAGGTTCTGTCCTCGAGGATTATGC